CCTGGGTATTTACCCTTAGGAAATAGGGTTGTTGATCTATAGAACAGATTACCGAATAACGTAATAGATGTGGGATCAATGTGGGATCCTGTGATTGATTGAGGCTTATGATAGCCTAGTCGCTATCCCTCATACGTGAGTGAGTTTGGGGCGATGTGTACACGTAGCGGGCGACACACACCGGGTGGGGCCAATAGTCATTTATTGATCCTGTTTCCTGAAGTCTTATATTCTCTTATTTTGTCACAGATCTTTTTCATCTTGCATAAAGATCTTGTCACACTGACTCAGACTCATTTACCATAACAAAGGGAACAGAATAAATGTCACACACAGAGGCTTTCTGTGATTATAATTGGTGATTTGTTCAGAATAAATGTTGTTCTGTAGTAGAAACTTTCATAGTTATCAAGCTGCATTGGTTTTGTACTGACGTCCACTCTGGTTCCTGCACTGACATCAACTCGGACGTCACCGGAAGACCAGGTCTCCGGTGACGTCTCACCTCCGCACCTGTTTGGAGGACGCCTGAAAAAAATTAATCTAGGTATATACAGGAAGCCTAAAGCCATATACAGGTATTTTATTATAGTGATACACTTTTCTGGAAGATATTGTCAATGAATATTTTTTATAATTGGTGATTTACCAGTGATATACATATTGGTACCCCTGTGTAGTGACCCTCGTCACTGATGTTGGTACCTCCGTGTAGTGGCCCTCGTCACTGGTGTTGGTACCTCCGTATAGTGGCCCTCGTCACTGGTGTTGGTACCTCCGTGTAGTGGCCCTCGTCACTGGTGTTGATACCTCCGTGTAGTGGCCCTCGTCACTGGTGTTGGTACCTCCGTGTAGTGGCCCTCGTCACTGGTGTTGATACCTCCGTGTAGTGGCCCTCGTCACTGGGTCTTGAGCGAGGCTTCAGCACTCACACAGAGGAGAAGACTCGAAACTTATTTGTGATCTAAAAACGTTCCTGCTAAGCAGAGAGAAGTGTGAAATATGCGCCATTGTTACACAAGCCACAGTGCTCATGTTCGTGTAAGGTGCGGTGGCCAGGCCATGCGCATCACAAGCTTCTCCTGCATGATAACAACACACTACAACAACAACAACAGATAACATGGCGGTCCGTGTGGCTTGCTTAATACATTGTATAAATGAACCGCCGAGGAGGAATTTCTTTTAACTTTTTATGTTGATGCCGGGCTTAAGCGAGTGTGTTGACATGTTTCTCATGGCGTGCGGTCCGTCAGGCTGTGGCACTGTGCCAACATTCCGTGCCACTGGCCGTAAACTCGTGCACAACCTTATTAATGTATATATTACTTTCATTTTGGTACAGTTGAGCCCCAGTGAGTAGAGGCGCCGGGTGCTCGCTGAAGCCCCCCGACGGTAGCAGGCACCGGAGGGAGCGTGTCAAGACGGTAGCAGGCACCGGAGGGAGCGTGTCAAGACGGTAGCAGATACCGGAGGGAGCGTGTCAAGACGGTAACAGGCACCGGAGGGAGCGTGTCAAGACGGTAGCAGATACCGGAGGGAGCGTGTCAAGACGGTAACAGGCACCGGAGGGAGCGTGTCAAGACGGTAGCAGATACCGGAGGGAGCGTGTCAAGACGGTAACAGGCACCGGAGGGAGCGTGTCAAGACGGTAACAGTCGAAGCACTTTTCACTTCACTTGACCCAGAGCTGTGTTCTGCCAGTGGATTCTCCTCATTGTGCGTTTAAGGGTTGAGCTGTGGCTCTTTGATCCCGCCTCTCGACTGGTGTATAGGTTCCCGAGCCTATATGGTTGTCATATCTCAATTTGAAACTTTGTATGAAATCTGCCCGTTGCATTAAATTTTTTTCACTAATCTGACACAGACAACAGAAATTCTTCTCTCTCTCTGTGGCACGTTTGAGAGTACTCCATTTGTACTCGTGTCTGTGAGCACATGATCACAGGCGCCATATTTACTCTGTCCACGGAGAGAGTAATATATTGGTGTAGCAGACGTGTGTTGTGGCGAGAGGGCGGCGAGGGAGAGACACACAAGATCCCGCAGGCTTGTATGGACTTAGGTGGGATCTTCCCATGACTGTCACAGCTCGGCTTCCTGCCAACATGTTCGTACCTCTTAACTCTCACCAGGTGGGTGAGGGGGGGCCCGCCAGGTGGGTGAAGGTGGGCCCGCCAGGTGGATGAGGGGTGCTGGTGAGCACCCTGGATCATCACATATTCATGTTATCTAACAACATGTACATCTAACTACCTTCACATAAGAGACTTTAATCATCCCTGGATAAATTCTAAGAACCTCACGAAGACGCAGGAACATGGAGAGAAAAATGAATGAAAGCAGCAAAGAAAAACTGTCTTATCTAACATGTCTTAAGTGTCCTCATGAATGAGGCGTAATGATGCAGTCTAACTGGACCCGACTGTCACAGTGTATAAGTCGGATGTATGGAAGACAGTGCTAACCCCTCTTGGGAATGTTGTAAACAGGAATGACGGAGTCATGACGGGTCAGAGAGTTGATGGCTGACTCCCCCAACTGGGAAGCTGAGTGAATAATAGGCTTTATGTCACGAGTACAACACAACTATGAACTCAAGAGGGAAGATCACACGAGATGTGATGAGAGTTCACGTCTAATGAAGTGCAGTTTTCACCGAAGAGTTCATATGATCTTGGATGTGTGTTCAGTCACATGACGAGTGACTGAGGGGTAATTACTCGACCAAACGTACACACCCATACTTGCACACTGCTGTGCACTCCTGTTCACTCCTGTTCATTATGTACGTTAACCTCTCGGGTCGGAGTACCATCGTGTCCGGTGTCTCTGGATAGGAAGTCGCATTTGTAGTTCAGATAAAGTATGCGGGCAACTACACGATGCCTATACTACGAGATACAGGAGGCATCATTAGACTTGAGTGTAGCATGGATGATGACCACCATTTTAGATGCAGCGACGTAGTGCAGAAGATGGCCAGAGGTCACCCTGACCTCGCCTACCCAGGCTGGGAGGAGCGCCATTTTCACACTCCCCATTGACGTCATGCGAGCCCAGGGAAGAACCAGTCATTTGATGGGCCAATATAGAGGCTACATTTTGATTGGCGGATTCTTATAGGGGTTCAGGGAAGTGAATGAGCAATATTGGCGCAGTGTGTAGGGTTTGTGTGCTAGCAACTAACTCACTCCTCGGCTGCCGTCTGCGCTAGACGTGTTCCTCTCTTGGGTCCACGCGGCAAGCGGCACAAAGTACATTGAAATGAGGTAATAGCGAGGGCAGTCGCGGTCCTGTCGTAAATACACTGAAGCATCGGTATGTTCGTTCTCCAGTAATTCCTGCTCGTGTGGTCCCTGGAGCGCAGGCAGTCCAGATGACACTGTTGCAGTGATGAGGTCGCCTGTGGTCACGGTAGCGTGCTGCGTCACCGTGTCACCTACATAACTATGTCAAATTTCACTGTGTAGTGTTTGTCTGATATTCGTGGTGCCTATCTAATTGAAGTAATTCATCTTTGTTCCGGTAATATTTCTAATGCTTGCTGAGCGAGTATTGAACAACCGTGGGGACCTTCTGATGTCCATACAGTGCTCTCTGATTGTGCCTATGGCACCTCTAGTCCTCACTGGTTCTATGCTGCATTCCTTCCGTATTTTTCGCTCTAGTATGTTGTTATTCTACTGTGCAAATTTGGGACCTGGCCCCTCCAGTATCTTCCATGTACAGGAAGATATTGGAGCGTATTATCAGTCGGATATTATTTGATACCTCTACTCTTCTCTCCAGAGTACATTTTGAGTTTAGAGTTATTTCCCAACTGAGTTAGAGTTTGAATTATTTCCCATTAATTTAGATGTTTAGATGTGTGCGCGCGCGCCGTATATATTTTCTGTATTCCCTCTAATTCAGAATTTGTGATTTAGATAGTATTAGCATTGCTGTGGGGGGGGGGGGGGGTCTCTGGATTTGACCGTTCTCATAATCCGTTCTATCATTTTCCTGGCCGCCGTTATATTTGTTCTGTTATGTTTACTAAATGTAAGATCGTCAGACATTATAATTCCCAGATCGTTTACATGTTGCTTTCCTTCTATGAGTAGGTCTGATTACGTCATGTACTTTGCATTTAGTTTAAGTTCCTCATTTCCACCATACACAAGTACCTGGGACCAGATTCACGAAGCAGTTACGCAAGCACTTAGGAACCTGTGCATTTTTTCTCAATCTTTGACTTGCTTTGTTTACACTTATTCAATAGTTAATGAGCTCAGAAGCACCAGGAGGCTGTTTATAACGATAACAGTTGATTGGGATGTTTTCATGCTTGTAAACTGTTTAATAAATGTAACCAAAGCCGTCAAAGATTGAAGATGTACACGTTCGTAAGTACTTGCGTAAGTGCTTCGTGAGTCAGGCCCCTGGAACATATCACCGTTGAAAATCATGTTATTTTCCGTTGCCCAGTGAAAGAATTTATTAATATCTGCTAGTAATTTTTCAGTGTCTTCTACAGAGGTAATTTTCATGCTGATTTTTTATCATCTGCAAAGGATGACACGAAGCAGAATCCAGTATTTTTCTCTATATTTAATATGAGAATGAGAAAAAGCAGCTGTACAAGAACTGTGCCCCGAGGCACAGGGATTTTTCACTGTGCTTTGACTTGACTTTATTTTCTTGATTGTTACTCTTAGCAATCTGTTTGACAGAGATTTGAAAACCAACGTCCCACTTTACCAGTTATTCCAGTGGAATAACAGGCAAAGTGTGCCTGTTATCCCACTGGAATAACCTGTTATTCCAGTGGAATAACAGGTAAAGTGGTTATGTTTAACGGGTAAATTCATCAAAATTGGTTATAGTATGCCAGTATGTCTATACTGGTGGCCCATGTAGAGTGTGTCAAGAGGATGGACCTATAACCGGTTGTTGTCTCAGTTGCTACCGGTACTGTGTCCCGTGTGGCTGCATCAAAGGCAAATGAAACACAGGAATAAAATGTAAATAATTTATTGTGTAGTGGTACATACAGGAGGGGAATGGGGGGGAGGGGGAGAGAAGGGGGTGTTAGCACCCGCTGGTTACTGGTGTGTGTGTGGACCCTTGTCGGTACCCTGCTTCCCTTGGGTCCTCCTTGTTAGTGAAGGTGTGGTCCTGGCCGACACTGTTGGCCCCTGGCCGACACTAACACACTTCGCATGTTGCAACAACCGTCACAGACTGAACAAAAATAAACACTGAAATGTTCAACAAATCCTATAAAGCTACCGAAGATCGAAGTGGATTCTGTAGCGAAGGATTCAACAACTATTATTTTTTGGGGGACAAGCTGACCTGCCTGTTGCCCCCAGGGGAGGGGATGAGGGGGGGGGAGGGTTCACCCTGCCTCCAAGCACTCCAAGTTCACTCACGGGGTAAACATTAATCCACAGTATATCAAAATATATTAATAAGTATATTATAGAAAGGAGTATGCTTTTGATACTAAGGATGGAGAACACTGAGGTGGCTGACCTTAGAAATGAGAAAATATAATGATTTAGTGATAGTTAAAGTTCACCCATATATATATATATATATATATATATATATATATATATATATATATATATATATATATATATATATATATATATATATATAATATACATGCATATCTCGACGTCCATGTATACATAGGAGTTTCCAGAAGAAAATATTGTTCACAACTTTGAACTATTAAAAACTCATCACCACCAGATTTTTAGTATACAACTTTGTGATAAGAACCTTCCTTAGTTCGGCATACAGCTGGAGAGAGAGGACAGGGAAGGGTAATATTGTCATAAATCTACTCTATAAGTCTGGTCCAGTGCTAGTCACCGGCAATGCTTCATATAGTGACCATTAACTAAAATATATATATATATATAATGATTACAAGCGCTAGGTTAAACATGAGATGAGATCATGTATGTATATATTGAGAGTCCGTGGCCCAACCCCTTAGTATGTGACGGGCGCCCACGGCGGTGACAAGACTGTGTGTGTGTGTGTGTGTGTGTGTGTGTGTGTGTGTGTGTGTGTGTGTGTGTGTGTGTGTGTGGGGCCTATTTTCTCCTATTCCACACTCCATAACGAGGCATTTACGCATATTAAATTCCATCGGCCAACTCTTGCTCCATACACTTATATGTCCAAGTGTTCTTTATTCGTGTTCGAGTACTGTTGGCTGCCTTAACCATATAATGTACTCATCTCTTGCTAAAATGTTCTTCAGTATGTGAGTAAAATTTAGGTTTCAGTCCACTTTGGATGAATAGCTATGAGCAGGACTGGCCCTGATCGGGGCCGCTAGTTGTGATGGCCGCCAGCTATGTTTACACTACGATGTTGGAGCTATGTGACTGTAGAGGGTGTGACTGTAGAGGGTGTGACTGTAGAGGATGTGACTGTAAGGGGTGTGACTGTAGAGGGTGTGACTGTATAGGGTGTGACTGTAGGGGGTGTGACTGTAGGGGGTGTGACTGTATAGGGTGTGACTGTAGGGGGTGTGACTGTATAGGGTGTGACTGTAGAGGGTGTGACTGTAGGGGGTGTGACTGTAGGGGGTGTGACTGTAGGGGGTGTGACTGTAGGGGGTGTGACTGTAAGGGGTGTGACTGTAAGAGGTGTGACTGTAGGTGTGACTGTAGGGGGTGTGACTGTAGAGGATGTGACTGTAAGGGGTGTGACTGTAAGGGGTGTGACTGTAGGGGGTGTGACTGTAGGGGGTGTGACTGTAGGGGGTGTGACTGTAGGGGGTGTGACTGTAGGGGGTGTGACTGTAGGGGGTGTGACTGTAGAGGGTGTGACTGTAGGGGGTGTGACTGTAGGGGGTGTGACTGTAGGGGGTGTGACTGTAGAGGGTGTGACTGTAGAGGGTGTGACTGTAGGGGGTGTGACTGTATGGGGTGTGACTGTAGGGGGTGTGACTGTAGAGGGTGTGACTGTAGAGGGTGTGACTGTAGAGGGTGTGACTGTATAGGGTGTGACTGTATAGGGTGGTGGTGAAGGCCCGTCAGCCGCCGCGAGGTACTGCCACATTACCAGGTAGTTCTAATGCCCTCTACACCTGCACACACACAAGATAAATACGTCACACTTGGACCAAATGTATTATTAAACGTACTATAATATTTATTCAAAAGTAATTATAACAGCTCTGTTCCTAATCAAAATAGTATTAACAAACAACAATAAGATTTTGATCACAGTTATATACACAAAGCAATATATACATAATGTATGTACAGAATGTTTACAAATATATACATTAAATACATCGCATATGCCAAAAATGCAATGATTCGCAACGTGTTGCCAACAAACCTAAATACAAGAGAAGAATTGAGATTGTTGTGGTGCGATAGCGTTGGTAGGGACGAGCCTCTTCCCTAGCAGTAGGGAGACTTGTTCCCGCCTCCACAGTCCTAGCCAATCTCGCGTCTAGCACATATGTGGTATACCAACCATGGCTTGTGCAGCTGTCCTAGGAACCCTAGTGCAGCCTCACATAATGAAAAGTCTTTCCTAACGTGCTGTGCTTTTCCGCAGTGCGGCGTTCCCCAGCGGTGCAGCAGACTCCTTATGGCGCTCAGGAAGGTGGCGATGGCGTGTCCTTGACGCTCCCTGCCGCCCACCTCCACCCAGAGTGTTTGTGGGTGCTGGTGGGCGAGTGTGGTGCAGGTGGGGAGGTTCCTGTGTGCCTGGAGCGCTGATTACACCCACCCACGCGCCCTCACCCACCAAAGGCGTAGAACAGATTTAGACTTGAATGGAATAGGTGGTCGTAGCGACGCCACGTGTACACCTGAAGAGTTTGAAACAGGAGAGGGCGAAGTGCTCACGTAGAGATGAGGCGAGGCGCTGGCGGCGGCGGCGAGGAGCGGGCGGGACTCGGCCGGCTTGCCACACCACCACTACCGCCGCCCAAGCCTGCTCCGCCACTGCTGCTGTTCCCGCTGTTGCTGTTGCTGCTGCTGCTGCTGTTGCTGGCGGTGGAATCGCGACGTTCTGCCTGCAGTTTGACCCACGTCTCCCCCAGGGCCTTGGCGAAGTGGTCGTCAACTGCAAAGAAAAACGAGGGAATCAGTAACAATCAGAATCCACTCAGACGGAGCACGCAAGAGCGCTCTCAGATTAATGACCTGGTGTCTCAGGTTGTTCAGTTTTCTCAGGGCTTGGACAAGGTGGTGATCAAGGGGTGGCCCAGGATCATGCCCAGGGCGTTGCCTAGGGCCGCTCCCACTTCCAACACTGCCCCCCCCCCCCACCCCATCCCCAGTGCCCGGCCTGCCGCGGGCACCACTACCACAAGGTTCACTCCGTCCTCTTATTATGCCCGGCCCGTCATTACTCTGCTCTCAACTCATTGATTAAATGTAAAACTGCCCTAGCTGCTGCTGCTGCGTTTGCTGCTGCTGCTGTCGACTAAACTAGTACATCGATGTGAATTACGAATCTCTGGTAAGGATTGGGGGTTACACTTGCTGTGGCGCCCGTCTCGCTACTTATACCACACTCCAGGGTTGCAAGATTAATTATTGGTTATCTCACTTGCAGAGACGACTGTAAAGCTTTCGTTCGACCCGACAAGTCTCCATATATAACACTTCAATATCCAGTGTGGCGTTTAGAGGACAGCAGCCAACAAGCCCTCCAACACTACGTTAGAAATTACAGAGAACCATTCACCACGAAATAGCCCGTGATATTAGTGATCCAGCGACAGGCAGGAAACCTAAGTTGGGGTTATCATGGGTTCCACAACTTGATGTTCTCATAACACCGCAGTAGCGGGGCCGCTTCCCCCCCCCCCCAAAAAAAAAAAATAGAGCATCTCGGTGGGTACTTTTTGGACCAGAGACACAAAATATTTTAAGATCAGATTCATCCTTTAGCGTTAAAATAAACTTCTAACAAAATATGTTGAGTGTAGAATATGGTTGATATAAAATATGGGGCCATAAATACAATTTTAGAACACTGTGGCTGCATCAGGGTTCCTTTACACCAGCAACTGCCAGAAATATTATCGGAACAAACAAGTTCAAGATGGAACTCGACAAGTTGGTGAATGACGCGGTGTATCAACCAGGTTGTAGTGGGTGTGCGGCCTTGCAGTTATCAAGGGAAGCCAAGCACTAAGAACAAGCATACGTTGACAAGCCACTAGTGAGATGGTGGCCCCCTCACGTTACCATCCATAACCAGCTGCATTTTCAGTAACAAGATATGCGAGTGAAGTTGCAACATTTGCAAGTCATCATAACATTACCTCGGCGTGTTTGAGCAAGTCTCGCCCACAACCAACAAGAAGGCTTCACGGGGAATAGTCCATGTGAAGGTGTGTAAACGTGTGTAATAATGGTGCTAGAAGCACCTGGTTCTTTGGCTGGCCTGCACCCGTGACCTGACCTCTAACTGCATTATGTCGTTGCTGAAATGTTAGTTTCTTCGCCAAGAACTGTTGTTATTAAGTGTTACAATAGCTATTTAATGAGCAAAAGTGAAGGTTGCTAGGAACCATGTTTTCACAATATTCATAGTCACAGATAGTCACACAAGTCACAGTTGTTACAGAAGCGTACACACCGCCTACAGAAAATTGACGGTTTTCGGTGAATTAAGCCACTTTGTACTTAATGCACATAAACATATTTAAGTATACAACTACTAGATTATCTTAAGTTGACATACAGATGGAGGAGAGAACAAGCAGAACACCGAGGTAATATAGCAGAGTGACAGGCTTGTGAGAGATAAGTAATTCCAGTGATTGCAGCTCAAGGCTACATAGAGACCCATGGGGCTGATGACCCAGTGTATGAGAGATTACACCGAGCACGGTGCAGAAACTATTTGTATAGCGACTGACGATCTCCAAATAACATACACCAGACTCGACACGTCATTCACATAAGACCAACGCCACAGGTCCTGGATGTCGTACTTAAGATAATTGAGGAAGATAAAACTGAAGAGGACATCGCTGTGTTTCGGATACAAGAGAGAGGCGAAGAATTGCACTTTCCACTGAACCACTGGTTCAAGTGGAAGGTATTAACCAGTGGTTAAGAAATCATTCACAAGTGCTAATGAAAGACATGAGAGAGTATGGAATAGGAGGACCCGGGTGAGGGTAGAAGAGGGTGTACCCGAGGACAGCCTTCTGACGTTCCCTGGTCCCCCACACCCAGAGCCTCACCTGAGGACAGCCTCCTGCCGTTCCCTGCGTCCCCGCCTCGACAGCCTCACTTGGCGTTCCGTAAGAAGCGGGCCGGGTTTAGTGTGTAGCGGGGGTGTGGAGGGCCGTGTTCTGGTGTCTCGCACAACACGATCTTCCAAGCGACTGTGATGTAGTTTTCACTAGGGGAAAAAACTGTGACTTCGCCAATGTTTCTTCATTGTTTAAACACGCCTTGGGAAAAACCATGAGCTGTGATCAACAAAAATAGCGAGAGGCTGGTCCACGTCTGTTGGTGGTGGAGGTCCTGGTCCCTGTGGTCCCTGTGGTGCCTTGCACACGGGCGTGGCGTGACGGCTGCCGATGTTCACGCAGCATGGTTGTTACCCTTGACCAGGAGTTGTCTACGAGCCAGTAACGTAGTGTCCCTGCGAGTTGTCTCCGCGTCACCTCTACATCCACCAATTTCCTCGTCAGCGTGATAACCACATGAGGAGGATGACGACGTGGAAGATAGTGACGAGGCAACAAAGATGATGGTGATGATAATGGAGAGGGGAGGAAGGAGGGAGGGGGTTTAGATATTACATCGTAAACGGTAGGTACGTGTTGGTATGGTGGGGAGGGATTAGGGTGGGTGGGGAAGCAAGAGTAGGAGGGCAGGCAGCCTTCCGCCAGGGCCGCCAATGCCCTACACAACCCTGGGAGTTCCGACCATACACGCCCGAGGTGGAGTGATTCCCCGCCCGCAGCGCCGCTCCGGGCGAGTGGCGTGAGGAGGAACCATTTTTTAGGGAGGAGGGTAAATGTAAAGACGATGGAGAGGCACAGGTGAAGGGAAAGTTTAGAAATGGGAAATATGGTGTGAGTTATGAAAGCAGGCGGACTGTCCGCCTTGCTGACGATGTGTGGGTGTTGGCAGCTAAGCTAAGCGTGCTCTCTTGTGTCGGGGAGCTGTGAGTGTGTGAGAGGTTCTTTACATGTATTTCAGCATATATAGATGTCTATAGATGAATGCTGTGTAGCATTTACATATACACACGCCGAAGCTTAGCGCCCCCCCCCCCCCTCTCAACTGTCTGACAGCTGAGTGGACAGCGCTTCGGATTCGTAGTCCTGAGGTTGTGTGATGTTCTCTGTAAGATTCTTTATTGTATTTTTAGTTTTCTCTTCTATTGGGGGAGGGAGTTCTGGTCAGTATTTCATCTGGTCATTATGTACTGTGGGGCTGGGATTTCATTGCTTAGATGGAGGCTCTTGGGCCACCAGCTGTGGGAGCGGGGCGTCTCATCTTGGAGTAATCTTTCTAACATTTGGTCCTCTAACATTTCGATGGTGTTCCACACCCTGATGGCTTGGTGCTGTAGTCTTATATCTGGTGGCTGTATGTTCAGGAGTTCATGGACCTCCTGGATTGTCTGATCATATGGTGGCCGGTGTTTTGCTGCTCTCCTTAACGCCTTATTTTGCACTGCTTGCAGTTTTTTGCATGTTTTCTTTTAGCTATGTAGTGGTACTGAAGGCTGAACCACCGCCAGCCTCCCACATCCGGACCATCACCTACCCTCATACACCACTACCCCCACCACACCCCCCCCCCCTCACACCCCGGGGCAGTCGACGGGGCCAGGACGCACCAGCCCGGGGTAATATTAACATAATGTGCCCAGGTGAGAGGAATTAATTTGTGTTGGGGTGAGAAGTTGGTGAGGGCGCGGCCAGCCTTGCTACCGCCCACGGCAGGCTCTGTACTCGCCTAGTTGTGCTTGCGGGTGTTGAGCTTCGGTTCTTTGGTCCCGCCTCTCAACTGCCAATCGACTGGTGTACAGGTTCCCGAGCCTATTGGGCTCTAATGGTGACGCCCTCTACATTTGAAACTGTGTATGGAGTCAGCCTCCACCACATCACTGCCTAATGCATTCCGTCTGTTAATTAATGACACTGAAAAAGTTGTTTCTAATGTCTGGGGCTCATCTGGATGCTCAGCTTCCACCTCTGTTCCCTTGTTCGTGTATGAACGTGCTAAATAATTTGTCTACCCTGTCAATTCCTGAGAGAATCTTCTAGACGGTAATCATGTCTCTCCTAACTCTTCCGTCTCCAAGTGACGTGAGGTTTAATTCTATTAGTCTTTCCTCGTAGTTCATGCCCCTCAATTCGGGTACTAGTCTGGTGGCGCCCTCTGAACTTTAACTAACTTCGTCTTGTACTTGACTAGGTACGGACTCCATGCTAGAGCTGCATACTCCAGGATTGGTCTGTCATATGTGGAATATAAGGACCTGAATGATTCCTTGCAAGTGTCTAAAGGCAGTTCTTTTGTTGGCCAACCTAGCATATGCTGTTGATGATATCCTCTTGATGTGGACCTCAGGGAACAGGTCCAACATAAAGATACCAACATCAAGATTTAAGATACCAACCCCCAGATCTTTCTCTCCTGATTCTTGAAGGATTTTATCACCAGAGTTCATCACTTTGTATCTGGCCTCCTGCTCCTTACACACATTTTCTTTACTTTACACTTGAAACAGGTCATCCTGTTTCATTCTGTTCCTGTCTTAATTCTTCTCATAATTTTAGCATCGTCAGCAAACATAGTCTTCAGCCTCTTGGGGGACCATTGACATACATCAGAAACAGGATAGGCCCGTGTACAGAAGCCTGTCGGACTCCGCAGGTGACACCACGCCATTCTGAGGTCTCAGCGCTTACAGTAACTGTTTTCTGTTGAGGTACTCCTTCAGGTGGGTGCTCGTTGGGGGGAGGACGCCTATGAAGGGGGGAGGCGACTGTGTGGAGTAGGAATCTTCTCCCTCGCTACAACACGCAAACCAAGACATGCTTCTCGAAAACTAATAATGGTAAATAATATTGTTAA